ATCTCAGCCTTTAGCTCTTCCAGACCTTGTACTGAAGCCTTCGAGAGTCTCTTTACAGCTATTTCCTGTTCCAACTTTCCCTAATGTTTCACCAAACAACAATACTAGAATTCAAATATATATATATATATCCTAGAACCAAGTATGACTGTAACTTCTTTTCTCATTCGGACTCAGGCACTAGAAGATTCCAAATTTCCAAGGTCGAGGAACCAAATTAATGAATTAGTAGATTTTTACCTTGTAAACAGGACAAGATTCCAAATTTCCAAGGTCGAGGAACCAAATTAATGAATTAGTAGATTTTTACCTTGTAAACAGGACCAAATCCACCTTCTCCAATCTTATTATCATCAGAGAAATTGTTGGTTGCTCTCTTTATGATATCAAAATCAAACAGAGGCAGCTCCATGCTATCTTCTCTAGTACTTTCTTCAGCATTTTCATTAACAGAAGTACCTAGAATTATTTTTATTATTAATTTACATATTTACAAACTAACCATTTATAACAATGATGTGATCAGGAGCTGTTTCCATATTCAAATTTTTATGGAAGTGTATTCATGTTAAACACGAGAAACAAGGTGACGTCATACCTCTACTTCTTTTCTTCTTCCTCAATGTATAGAAAATAATACAAGCAAGTATTAGTATCGCCAAGAATACACTCAGCACGACAACTAAGATTGTGTGCCCTCGTTTATGAGACTGGCTTGATATTGATTCTGCAAACCACCAACACCACATTTTTATTACAAACTCAATGTATGTAATTTCATAATGACTGATATGAGAATACTTCCCGAGATCAACTATGTAAGTGGATACAATTGAAGAAGGAAGCATCGCAAAGGATCAAACTGAAATGCCGGTTGTGATTCCAGCACGCAATTATTAAAAAACCAGTAATAACTGGAGTTAAAATGGCTAGTTGTGATCACTCATTTCGAAGATAACAGGAAAATACTCTGTAATTCAAGGCTTTTCCTAATTCTCCAAATTTTTTAGTCTAGAATTTTTCTTCATTCGATTACTAAACCTGTCACACACCGGGCCCGTCCTCGTCGTCACGACATAACAATTGGTACATCCTAGTATCACTGTCAGGCGTGTGGACACCCCCACTTTAGTCCCACATGGACTAGTGTAAAGAATTGTTAGTGGCTTAAATAGAGAAGCACAAGGCCCAAGAACAACTAGTGCTAACATTTTGGCAGTGGACTTTAACTAACATCGAGTTGCTCTCGGTGGGTCCCACGGCTTGCACGCGCCTACGAGCCCGGGGTGTGACAAAACCAATTGTTCCACTAAGCCGGAAAAAACAGCATTTGGGGGCAAGAAGTCACTCTTCTGCAAAAGTCAATCTTACAGTCTACAGCATGCTTGCTGGTGAAACCGGCAACAGCATGATAGGAATTTTCTTCACTTACTTTACTAAATAAATTATAAATTAAATGGTTTAAAATGCTGTCCACATTTCTCTTTCTTAGGCTGGTAAGTAAGTCAATTGACCGACTTATGACTTTCATTTCCGACTCAAAATGCTGTCCACATTTCCTACTTTCATGAACAGGAAGAATCTATAAAACCAAGATTGTGATGCGAAAATAGCTTTTGAATATTACAAGCACGGTCATAAGCACTGCTTTAACTGACAAGGATCAAGACTCCGTACGCTTCTGGATGGATGACTAAAAGTCCAGAGTGAGAAAATTCCGAAAGGAAAGGAAATGAAACTATCAAGTTAGATATCTTCGTGTGATCTAGATAAGAATTTCTCAGAGCAAACTAATCTACACAGCTAATTTCATCTGCATTAAATGCTGATTTAAACTAATACACAGTAACCTGTCGGTCTCACATCGGCCCTCCAAGGATCAGGCTGTGCAAAAGATAAGAATTCATGAGTTCTCAAACTCCGTCAGGTCCTACATTAGCAAGAAAATGTTGCAGTGGATAAATAACATATGAAAACAAGCAACAATAGTGCATACCTATATCTGCTGCTGCCAACCGCAGGTAGAACTCCTGTCCACCCATGTTGTACGTTTGCAAAACCTGTGCAAGAACAATTCCTCAAGCATTCTGCCCTACATTCATCGAAGCTCATACTCATGTCCACCGTTGCCTGCACCGTATCAGGTAAAACTGTCCTTTGCACTGGCACAAATCCATCAGTTCCATTCCTACAGTCTAATGATGTCTTCCTAATGCACCCACCAGTAAAGCCCTTTAAGGCCCAGTCATATGGCGACTTGGGCTCAAACCCCGGCAAGCAACTGCAAGCTCGTAGGGTATCAATGTAGCACAGGCTGTTGGGCCCACATACACCGAACAGGTCACACTGGGTCGCTGGTAAATACCGATACTGACCCCATTCACCAGAATCAAGCAATACTAATCTTTGTATGAGCCCAGATGGATTCACCACCAACCTAGTCAGCGTAGCATTGTTCACCATATCAGCCGTGTAAGTAACCTCGTTCTTGTTGTTAATGAAAGTGAATGAAAATGAGTCCATGGAATCGTTGTCATAGAATGGTATTCTTCCAATCCAGGGACCAGACCTCCATTCTCGGACAGAACCAGCCCAAAATATCAATTGAGGATCACCATGGAGGTCGACTGCTAATGTGTATATTCCAGGTGACGGATCTGTAGAACTTGACCATCCAGTGAGGTTGCGATTCAGACCACTTTTAGCATCCCATCCGACCTTCATGCCCGGGATCAAAGTATCGGTTGGATAGTCAAAGCCCTGCCATGCTATGCTGTTAGAATCAGTGTCGTCAGCAACAACAAAATTACCAGTATCCAATAACTGGGCTATTGGATTAGTAGCTTGTTTCGTAGAAACAAATAGCCAGATGATGGGGAAACCACCAGCAGTAATAACAAGACTTCCATTTTTGGTAATCGATAAGATTCCAGTGGTACCATTAATTGGGTGAAAGTGATTTGCCACCCAGATTACGGTCTGTCCTGGTATTTTGTTGTACCATATGCCGATGTATCTGTTGCTGGTGGTGGAGTTGTCAGGGGTAAAGAATCCCAGTGCAAAGGTTCCGGTAGATGAAAGCAAGACATCTCCATCGGCAAGATTCGTGGTAGGGGTAAGGGAGTCCCTGGAAGTGGAGGGGTAAAGAGAGAGAAAAATGATCAGGTAGAATAACGGTTTCCTGAGTGATTTGCTCATGGTTTACAAAACAAGTTTCATGTAGGGTGTCTTTGTAGGAATGAGATAGTAGGTTAACAACTTGTCGGTCTCACATCATACATATTTCAATACGCAGATGATATTCAATATTCAAATGTTACCATAATATGAACTTTGAATGTTATTCGGAAAAAGATTGTGACTTGCTCCATCAACATCCCGTTAGGAGGTTATTTGACTCATCGCTTAAGAGACTAGAAGGTTCTCTAGCTTCTGGGACTCAATCAAATGCCATGACTAAGTCCCCTTGAATCGAAAATTAACCTTTGAAATCTGGATCAATCGTATGCATCCATATGTATATTCCACACATAGGTTTCAAACATGCGCCCTGCAATTGTATGGTTGTTGTTGAGTAAAAAAGAATACACTGACTTAAATATAAAGACAGTGATGCAAGGAGTAATAGCTACGTATGAAAAATAATAGAAATGCTACCGTAGATTAGTAGGTGTTGTTCATCTCTGTGTTATGCAAGAATAAAAGCTCAAACATTAAGCTTTACATGTTAAAGTCTGACTGTCCTAAAGATTAATTATTTGCTGTCGCTAATTCTAATCTTGTATTGCGCAAAAGATAAGAAATACAAGATTGTTTACTAGATGTTCATCTTACTGACTCCTTGCTTCAGAAGTAAACAGGCAAAGACCTGCACCATAATACAGGTAACTCAAAGGATAACAATTCTATTGGGTGATTATCCAACTTGCAACAGCGAAGAAGGATTGAGATTTAAATTTCTATCATGAAACATAAAGAAAGAAATTTATATGATGTTTCTTTGATAGTCATCACACGCTGATAAAATGATGGGTAATTAACATAAGTAGGTTCTTGCTCATGTAAAATTGGACTAATCAAAATTACCATAACAAAGCCTAGAGGTAGCATCAACATAGAACATTTCACCTTTCACCAATCTATCACTATCCATAACTTGTACTTCTCATTTTAGCTTGTTCGAAATAGTAACCGGCAGAATTTCCATAACAATATCTTGAAATAGCAATGTTAAGTTTCAAGTCTATCAAAATAAAAACACATTGATGAATCAGCCATCAAAAGGTTTTGCCCAAAGGAGATCATTCTGTGCAGAGTAGCCTACAGGGTTCTGTTCCATATGACAAATGAGCGCGAAGGTTTGAATGGATTGTGTTTTGACATTTTACATCAATCTTACACCATTAAAACGAACAAAAAGAAGGTGCCCATTCACGAAGGGGCTTCTAATTATATGACTTGTTGCAAAATACCTCATGGAGAAAGTTGAACTGCAGAGTACTTCCAATTTGCTTTATCCGGAAAAGCTGAATATCTTTGTAGAGATGATACATCGATGACAGAAAATAAATTAGACAATGATGATTATAAAGAAAACTAGGTCTCTACACCAACAATGATACAGAGGAGTTTATTATTGTCAGAGAAAAGAAACGCAGATAATAAATCATTAGATGTTCCACCCCTTGAAATAAATGGCATACCATAATGATACAAGACAAGAAAAATTGGAATAAAAGTCATACCATAATTAACCACTAAAAGGGTTTACGTGTATCGCCCACTAACAGAACCATGTAACAAACACACTAACAATTATCTATCTAAAGATATAGTAAGTGTTAGATCGTTTATACTAGAGCTTTCCTTCACTGGAGACGAACTTCCTGTAGGAGATAGCCTTGCCATAAAACCAGGTTGTTTAGGCTCTGGCAGAAAAGCATGATCACTGCCTAACATCAAAACAACGGATGACATGATCGGTCTATCCTCCGGTTGCTCTTGGACACAAAGAAGCCCCACTTTCATGCATCTTAGAATTTCAGTCATAAAAACTGAGGCATCCAATGACGCGTCAATTAGTTGCAAGCCGTTACCTTCTTTCCACAATGTCCATGCCTAGAAGAATTAAAACCAAGAAATAAGCCATGTGTCAAACAATAATTAGATGTAGTAATCAGCTAATTGTACTTACTTTTCCTAAGAGATATTCCTCGGCCGCAGAGAGATATACCCCTTTATTTCTCCTTCCGCTAATGATTTCTAACACTAAAACCCCAAAGCTGAATACATCGGATTTCACTGAGAAGATCCCATTCAATGCATACTCTGGAGGCATGTAACCGCTACATTCAATCAAACACTAAATTAGGTATCGTGGTAACTGAAACTAAGTTGAACAATCACTATCAAAGATGGATATCTCTTACTATGTCCCGACAACTCTCCTTGTCTGTGTTTTTGTCTCATCTTCTCCAAAACGTCTGGCCAAACCAAAGTCTGATATTTTGGGAATCATATCTTTGTCGAGAAGGATGTTTCCAGCTTTAAGGTCCCTATGGATGATTCTGAATCTCGAATCTTGGTGAAGATAGAGAAGTCCTCTAGCAATTCCTAAAATGATCTGATATCGCATTCTCCAAGCCAATAATGCCACTTTTTCTTCATCTGAGGAAAATCTCATTGAAGTTAGAAATACCAAGACTAAAGGGTGCATGGTCATCTTTAGAAAGAAAGCTTTCCGGAAAACATCAAAGTGATGTTTTTGCATGCAACTGAAAGGAAATGGTCATCTTTAGAAAGAAAGCTTTCCGGAAAACATCAAAGTGATGTTTTTGCATGCAACTGAAAGGAAATGATGCATGATATAAAGAAAGCTTTCCGGAAAACATCAAAGTGATGTTTTTGCATGCAACTGAAAGGAAATGATGCATGATATCCATTTATGCAATTAAAATGCGATTGAAAGGTAGGAAACTAAAAAGTGGTAAAGTACTAAAACAAAATCATTTGAGCCTAAATAAACTATTAAAGTTTTGTGCATCTAAGTTGCATGGCAACAGGTATGGGTACCAATAGTGGTGCGAGTACTGGTGCGGGATGTGGAAAATTTGTAAAATGGACTATACGAGGGCACAGCTACATATATGTATTCACATTAATAATTTACATAAGATCATTATTAATTTTCAATTCATGTGCTATTAATTCCTATCACAATTTAAGTTTCCTTTATTATGTTGATTTTTATAAATTAGAAACTACTTGATTTTGAACTAAACACTCAAATGATCTTTTAAAATCATAATTTTGAACCTAGATATAGGCTGAAACGAACCTGAACCTTGTCTAAAAAGTTCTAAGAAATGGATGTGTAGGATATACGTCCAAGAAGTATTTGACAAGTGTTTTAAACTGTAAATCTATCATATAGTTGAGTACATGTCTGAATAAACGCATGCGTATATCCAAGGAGTGTCCGTGAAATTTGAGTGTGGGTACGTGTCCAATATGGGTACAGGTTCATGATAGAAATACCTAGGAAACATAGTTGTGCATCTGGATGACATCAGGAAGAATCAACCTGAATACATACGGGACCCCGTCTAGCTAGGGATTTATTGAGCAAGACTAGGGTTTAGATTAAAAACTTAAACACATTTCAGTGTTGTTTAGAGTTATCAACCAAATAAATCAGTCTAAAAATCCATATGTTTGACGCAAAGTCACGCCCTCACAAAAACACAAGTCAGCCTCTATATTCTTGTTTCTCAAAGGAAACTAGAATAGATAGTGAAATTCTTGTTTCTTAAAGGAAACTAGAATTGAAAGTAAAATATTTCAACAAAGTGAAATATACACTCTTCCTCTTATCAGTTCTAAGACTGAAATGTCGAAGGAACCTACAAGCAATGGCAAATTCACAGTTAAGATAATACAGACACGAGATTTACGTAGTTCAGCAAACTTGCCTACGTCACGGGAGGGGGGTTTCACTATGAGGAGAATACCAAACTTATTACAAGCTCTCTCTTCCTCACACTCTTCTTTTCTTCTCTCAACTCCACACAAGATTTTTCCCCACCACACTTTCTTCTCTCTATCTCCCTTCTATTTATAGAAGAAATGGGATTGGGTGTGGAACCGACTGGAGGAAGAGTAGGGGGGAGGTAGAGGTATGGAAGAGGCATAGGGGGGAGGTAGAAGTATGGTAGAGGCATTGTGGGCATGGGCTCCACGTGGGAGATCATGGAAGAAAGCATGGGAAACATGGGAGCATGGGCATGGGGTATGGGCCTGTGAGCATGGGCCGGTCAGAGAGAATCCCATTTTGTGTCATGTCCTCCTGTCCTCCCCACGTTCACAATTCTCCATCTCATTCATCATTTGATAAACCTCAAATTTTGGATGAACACCAGAAGAACCCCACGAACATCACCAGAGAGATCTCCATCTGCCAAACCAGGCCAAACCAGGCTAAACCAGGCTAAACCAGCTGCGTCACTATACCGCGGCTGCCTACGTACCCTCCATCGGGATCAAGCTAATCGTAGTTCTGTAACTATTCACCAACATAGTCTCCACCTCACCCCCATCATCCCCCCGAAGGGTCATGTTCTCTTGGGCTTAAACTTGCTACCTGTGACCACCTTGGTTAATATGTCCGTGAGATTCTCATTCGTATGCATCTTCATGAGAGAAATATCCCCTTCCTCTATGACATCCCGCACAAAATGATATCTGACGTCGATATGTTTGGTACGAGAATGGTGAACTTGATTCTTCGCTAAGTGAATCGCACTTTGACTGTCGCACCATAAGTTGACGCTCTCCTGCTCAATCCCCAAATCGTCTAGAAGAGCCCACAGCCACAATGCTTCCTTCACTCCCTCCGTCATGGCCATGTACTCGGCCTCTGTAGTAGAAAGTGTCACTGTAGCCTGCAACATCGATTGCCAACTAACTGGAGCTCCATGTATCCTGAATACATAATCAGTAGTAGATCGTCATCTATGTAGATCGCCCGCATAATCTGAGTCCACAAACCCGTCGATCTGACATGTATCTCCACTAAAACATAGACCCGTATCTACGGTACCTTTTAAGTACCTCATGACCCATTTCACTGCTTTCCAGTGCATCTTTCCCGAATTCGCCATGAACCTGTTGACCACACTAACCGCCTGTGAAATATCTAGACGTGTACACACCATAGCATACATCAAACTGTCAACTGCACTAGCATAAGGAACACGCTCCATGTGTACCTTATCTTCCGCTGTAGTGGGAGATTGTTTACTTGAGAGCCTGAAGTATGGAGCCAATAGAGTCACCACCGACTTAGCACTTTGCATTCCGAACCTCGCGATCACCCGCTCAATGTATCCCTTCTAACTCAAGAACAATCGTCGATTCGCCCGCTCTCTTCTAATCTCCATACCCGGTATTTTTCTTACAGCGCCCATGTCCTTCATCTCGAACTCTTTACCAAGTTGAGATTTTAGCCTATCTATCTCCACCTTGCTTCTCGAAGCAATAAGCATGTCATCCACATGCAAAAGAAGATAGATATAATCACCTCCACGAAGCTTCCGAATATAGACACAACAATCAGTCACTTCTGGAAAACTCATGTTTTAGTATGAAGGAGTCAAATCGCTTGTACCACTGCCGAGGAGATTGCTTCAGTCCATAGAGTGACTTCCTCAAGCGACACACATGATTCTCCTTGTCCTCAACATTGTACATTTCAGGTTGATGCATGTAGATCTCTTCATCCAAGTCTCCGTGTAAGAAGGCCGTCTTGACATCGAGTTGTTCCAACTCAAGATCACTATGAGCAACAGCACCCGAATAGAAGTGTGTTTTACCACCGGAGAAAATATCTCATTGTAATCCACACCCTCTCTTTGTGCAAACCCCTTAGCCACTAGCCTCGCCTTGTACCTCGTACCACCGAGCTTTGAAGGATCTTCCTTTCTTTTATATAGTTACTTACAACATATAGCTTTCTTTCCTACGGGCAATGGGACCACCTCCCATGTTTGGTTCTTCTGAAAAGATTCTATCTCCTCCTCCATCGCAGCCAACCAACTATCGCTATCTCTATCCCGAATAGCTTCCTTAAAAAAACCGGCTCATCTTCCTTCACCGAGAGTGCGTACTCAACCAAATTAACCTGCCTATAGTGCTTCAGGGGTTGATCAGCCCCCAGCTTCTGTACCTGCTTATATGCTCACCTTGGCCTAGTGGAAGCCAAGCTATCCTCGAGCTGCTGTTGTTGTAGTACATGTATATTCTTTTGCTGAACCTCCTCCTGCTTAAGCTCATCATCTACCTAACTTTCCACTTGAACACGACTAGAACCTGGTTGGTTTTTAGGTTCTATCTCAATAACCTGAGACTTAGAAGTCCCAACAGTCTCAACACCACCATCTTTGGGCACCCTAGCAATCATGGACTTCTCATCAAAGGTAACGTCTCTGATGATCACGAACTTTGAATCTTCTATACACCAAAGGCGATAGCCTTTTACACCCTTTGCATACCCTAAGAAAATTATATTCTTGGCCCTCGCGTCAAGCTTTCCCTCGTTAACGTAATAGTAGGCGGTACATCCGAAAATTCGGAGTCTCTCATAATCCGCATGCTCCCCTGACCACACCCAATAAGGTGTATCACCGTCCAATGTCGAATGTGGAGAACGGTTCACTATATAATAAGCTGTAGCAACCGTTTTTGCCCACCATTTCTTGCCCAAACCAGCATATGATCGCATACTCACTGTTTTCTTCCGCAGTGTTCGGTTCAGTTTCTCCGTTACCCCATTTTGCTGTGGTGTAGATCTAACTGTCTAGTGTCTGGTAACCCCCTCCTGATTACAAAACTCCTTGAATGCACCATCTGTATACTCTGTACCGTTATCAGATCTCAATGTCTTTAATTTCTTTCATGTCCTGTTCTCAACCATCACCTTCTACTTCTTGAATGTCTCAAGTACCTCATTCTTATGCTTCAGAAAATAAATCCAAACATATCTCGAACGATCATCTATGAATGAGACAAAATATCTGGAACCACCCTTAGAAGTTGTTAAAGCCGGACCCCAAACATCCGTGTATACATAATCTAGTATCCCTCTGTTCTTGTGATTGCTTCTCAGAAATTGAACCCTGTGCACCTTTCCATACACACAGTCCTCGCAAAAATCCATACAAGGCTTCTTCAGATTCTTCAACAAACCATCCTTACCGAGCATAGCTAGACCCTTCTCTGACATGTGCCCAAGCCGTCTATGACATAACCGTGTGTGCTCACATGGGTCTTCACCACTTCCATCAGTTTCAACAGCTGCATCTCCCATCACCGTCGTACCCAAGAGAGTATATAGGTTACCATGACGAATGCCTTCATCGCTACTAAGAAACCCCGAACAACCATCTTCACTCCGTTTTCTGTTACAATCTTGCAATCCCCGGAGTCCAAAGCATCAACTAAGATTAAATTCTTCCGCAAGTCGGGAACGTGTCTTACATCCGTCAAGGTTCGAACCACTCCATCATGCATCTTGATCTTGATATCACCTAACCCTATCGTTTTATAAGCATGGTTGTTCTCCATCAATACGGTTCTACCATCAATAATCTTGTAGGTAGTAAACCACTTCCTATTAGGACATATGTGGTAAGAGCAACTAGAATCAAGTATCCACTTCCCGAAAGTATCCTCGCCACTCGTGACGATATAGTATTCCTTATTGCTCCCTTCTCCTGAAGCGTAGCTCGTCTCTTTCTTGTCTTCTCGTCTTTTAGTCTTGTTGTTCTTTTTCCTACCTATTCTCTTATTAGGACAATTGACTTTGAAATGTCCTAGCTCATCGTATTTGAAACACGGTCTTTCCGCAAGAGGTCTTGATTTTGATCTAGACTTTCCTCCCTTGTCTTTTCCTCGCTCATTGCCCCTTCCTCTGGTAAAAAACCCCTGCGCTTGTTCTTTGTTACCACCAGTGGTCATATCACTAGTTGTAATTTTTTAAAGATCATCCGCTAGAAGCATTGTTCTAGTCTCATCTATCGATACACTGTCACCCACAAGCATCAGTGTTTGAACTAGATTCTCATAAGACTTTGGCAGAGATAGAAGTATTAGAAGTGTTTGATCCTTGTCTTCCACTGTCACCTCAACGTCTTTCAAATCTAATAAGATCCTATCGAACTTGTTGATGTACTCCCGGATTGACAAGCCTTCCTCCATCTTACAAATGTACAATTTAGATTTCAAATAGATCCGGTTCGTTAGACTCTTCGCCATGAAGGTGCTCTCTAACTTTAACCACACGCCCGCAGCCGTTTCCTCTCCATCCACCAAGAAAGCCACATCCCTTTCAAGACATAGAATAATCGACGCTCGTGCTTCCAAATCTAGCTCTTCCCAATCCTCATCAGATAAATCCTTGTGCTTCTTCTCTTTTCCCGCCAAAGCTTTGTGCAACTTTTACGAAATCAACGAGTTTTTCATCTGCATCCTCTAATAGGAGAAATCATTCTTTTCATTGAACTTTTCGATCTCGTACTTTCTAACTTTAACTGTTTTACTTATTAACGTCATTCTCCGCTTGTATAAATAAATCCACTTCTCTCGGGAATTTCAACAAATACTTTGTGTTCACCGCACAATAATCAAGCACCACCTCAGATCAGAAATTTTACCACCTCCAATCTGAATAAAGGGCTCTGATACCAATTGTTGGAAGCAGAGTCATGCCCTCACGCCGCGGAAGCAAAATTCCTGAGAGAGAGCCCTAGTTTTTGTTGTCACAAAAATACAAGTCAACCTCTATATTCTTATTTCTTAAAGGAAACTAGAATAGATAGTGAAATTCTTGTTTCTCAAATGAAACTAGAATTGAAAGTAAAATATTTTAACAAAGTGAAATATACACTCTTCCTCTCATCAGTTCTAAGACTGAAATGTCGAGGGAACCTACAAGCAATGGCAAACTCACAGTTAAAATAATACAGACACGAGATTTACGTGGTTCGGCAAACTTACCTACGTCCACGGGAGGGGGGTTTCACTATGAGAAGAATACCAAACTTATTACAAGCTCTCTCTTCCTCACACTCTTCTTTTCTTCTCTCAACTCCACACAAGATTTTTCCTCACCACACTTTCTCCTCTCTACCTCCCTTCTATTTATAGAAGAAATAGGGTTGGGTGTGGAACCGGCTGGAGGAAGAGTAAGGGGGAGGTAGAGGTATGAGAGAGGCATTGTGGGCATGGGCTCCACGTGGGAGATCATGGAAGAAAGCATGGGCAACATGGGAGCATGGGCATGGGGTATGGGGCTGTGAGCATGGGCCGGTCAGAGAGAATCCCATTCAACCAAATAAATCAGCCTAAAAAATCCATAGCTAGAGATCCTCTCATTTGTCCTTGTATCTCCACTAATCAATACCTGAATTAGCGTCTAAAGTCCAAGACTCCAAATGACAAAGGAAGATTATCTAACTGGGATTTAATGACATACAACTGTATTAATGTAGAGGTCGTATATATTCTCCATGTAATTTTGACCCGACAACTAATCAAACAACCTAGAAAAAGGGTTCTTCCACAATCCAATAGCTAAAAATCTTATTTTCCCTTGCCTCCTCACTCATCAACCTAGGTAGATGACTATCAACTATAGTCCAAATGCCCAACTGAAAAAAGACGACTATCAAGATTATTGATTGGAGATTAGAGTGAACAAGCATAACAATATATCAATTTCTTTGACTTAAAATAAGGTATGACATCCAATGTTAAGTATAAATTATGTGTCATAAATCAGATTTTTAAGTTTTGTAGCTTACTATGTTATTATGATTAACATATATCAAAACATACATTAAGAGACAATAGCCCAAATGTCCATTTTGTAATTATATGGTGCTCTGCCATCTTTAGAAAGCACAGTTGTTACCACCGATCTTCAATAATAGAATTTCTTGTGTGCTCACAATTGGTTAATAGTTGAAATTTGAATCTCTTTGTGCACCTATTCACACACATACTGTTTCACGTGCATCTATGTTATTCAGACATCTTTTTTGGATGTCGTATCCGTGTCAAACATGTGTCGAACATGGATTCACCGTAGACACACCATGTACATGTGGTTCAAAGAAAAACCCGATTTCTTCTATTACTTAAAACCCTAAACTAATTTCTTGGATATACCAAGCTCAAAACCAATAAGTTTTTGAACCCAAAAACCTATCATTACTTAAAGATTTGAAAAATACCCATTGTGTCCCATGCGATCAAAACTATACTTTTGTTGTTAAACCTTAATTCTTAGCTTAATTTGATTCTTAATTGTTATAGATAGTAAAAGATACATACAAATGTTATGGATATTTTAATTCAATGTTTCGTCTAATGTAAATATTATAAATATGCATATATGTGTGTGTCTCCATGTCCCCTTATCCTCCCTTTTATAAACTTTCCGCGTCCCGTGTCCGTGTCCGTGTCCGTGTCCGCACCCTCACCCGTATCTGTGCAACCTAGACGTGCATGCAAAACACGAATTTGATCATGCACACAGATATGCACACCCATACACACACTCGCACATTCACAACTGGATGCACATCTACCCACTCATAGGAATTTTCGGTGTCGTCTATGAATTTGATGAAGAACTTCAATTTAAAATTCCGTGAAATTATTAACTAGTTTGGACAAATATATCGACTACCCACAGCTTAATTAAACAAAATTTTTAATGAAAAATTAAGTAGTGCCCTGAACATATATTCCAGAAAAGATTCTAACAAAATGATCATCCTAATAATGACACAATAATGCAAGCATATGGTGAGATGATTGGCAAAACATATTTAAAAAGAGAGCATGAAATAATCAAGGAAATAGAGGGAAAGCAATTACCAAACAAAAAGGTATCTAAACTTTTGTTTGGCATGAATTCATATATTAATATCCTCTCGTCTCCTTCAAGACAGCATCCCAGAAGCCTCACCAGATTTCTATGTTGGAGCTTGGCCACTAACATTACCTCAGTCTTCAGCTCATCCAGACCTTGTAATGAGGTCTTGGAAAGTCTCTTCACAGCAATTTCTTGTCCCTCTCTCATCTTTCCTTGGGAACCATAAAAGAAAATAGAATAAACTTTTACTTTCGAACATATTTTCTAATTTTGAAATATCCATAGTAAACTCGTGAAGAACCAAATCAATAAGCATCTTAAATTTACCTTGTAGACAGGACCAAATCCACCTTCTCCAAGCTTATTTTCATGAGAGAAATTGTTTGTTGCTACCTCAATTTCTACCAAATCAAAGAGCGGAAGCTCCATATCATCTTCTTTAGTACTTTCCACAAGGTTTTCCCCGTTAATGAAAGTATTCCCTAACAAAAAGTTTTTGCATTTATTGAAACTATAAGTTCACAATGTAATTATGTACTATGTGATAAGATAGCAGTATGCTAATGTTCAATTAGAAAGAAATAAATACCTCTAGTCCATTTCATCTTCCTCCATGCATAACAAGCAACACTGACAAGCAGGGATATTACCCCCGAGACTACACTTAACCATACTGCTAAGGCTGCATCACCGCTCTTATGAGATTGACTTGATATTAAACCTGTAAGACACCAACACTGCTCAATCAAGAGTTTCTTTTCCCTGTATATAATAACTAATGGCTCTGGTTCCAAAAGGGACGACTAATTGATGTATATAATGTTTCATACATCAGATGGATAAGGCATGAACCTAAGCCTTGAACAATAAAAATAGTAGCCGAAAACAGAACAGTGATGCACTGAAGAATGCAGCTTTTAATTTTCAAATCATAAATCGGTTAAGAACAAAGCTTCCTCTATTGATCAGCACCGAAAAAATAATATATCTGTGTGTGTGGGAGTTAGCATTATCGAGAGGCAAGATGAATGCAGTTCTTAAGTGACTACCTATGTCTTCCGCAGCCAAACGTAAATAGAAATCTTGGCCACCATCCAAGAACGATGCAATGTCCATTAGGTCCATGGACCAAATAATGCACCCACTTCCACTCCCGCGTATGTCAGCACTAGAAAACCCAGTGCAAGAACAATTCCTCAAACAGGCAGCTCGACATTCATCCAGGCTCATTGTCCTATTTACAGTCGCGGTCACTGTGTCTGGCAAAAGCGTTCGGGGAACAGTCACAAATCCATCAGTCCCATTCCTACAATCCAGTTTCGTCTTTCTAACACACCCATCAGAAGCATATCTTAAAGCCCAATTTGCTGGTGATTTAGGCTCAAACCCTTGCAAGCAACTGCACATTGGAGAACCATTTGGATCACACGAACCATATGGGCCACAAGCAGCATACCCATCGCATTGGCCGCTTGGGATGTACCAGAATCTGTCCCACACGCGAGACTCATCAAGCCAGATATACCGTTCTGCGACCCCTTGTGGGGTCACATCAAGCCTAGTTATAGTGGACTTGTTAACCACGCCTGTGCTGTAGTAAATTTCTTCCTTATTATTAACAAAACGGGAGGCAAAAGCATCTGCATAAATTGGGGTTGCTGGTAATTTCCGAATTTCTACAATAATCTGTCCCGAGATCAATCCAAAATAGCTTCCTCAAGAGAAAAAGCCTCCAATTGAAATCCACCCGTCACCGTAGAGGAGCAATACTGAGAGATAGGTTCTCAAAAATCTATTTCTTCATATTATCTTCATAAGATTTTGAATCTCTTCTCTTAACCCTTCATAAGGCTACATATGAACCCTATTTATAGGATTACACTAGTCTTAGAGATTTTAACTTTAAACAATTCATAATTATCTAGAACTCTATCCATAACAATTAAGGATAGAATAGATTTGTTCAAAAACTTTATCCATAACAATTAAGGATAGAAATAGATTTATTCAAAAACTTTATCCATAACAATTAAGGATAGAAATAGAATTGTATTGCATGTATACCTCTTCTAATGACATTAGTGAGACCAATTGGGTCCCATATCAAGAACCAATTATTAATCAAATTAATAATTTTAATTTAACAATCAAATCCCTATCCGACCAATTGTTCATAAAAGCTCTTCCATAATATGGGATTAATTATTAATAAATAATATCTTACATTCAATCCCTTCCAGTATCATTTATTTTAGGCAACTCTTTTAAGCAGGACAACTCACCTATTTGCTCATGCCTAAATTTGCCAATTCCCATGAACATAAATAAAAACTATTTTGAAACATTAAAATATTTTATTTTTTATAAGAAAATAAATTTTGTAAAAATATTTTCAAAGCTACCTGCCGGCAGGAATTTAATAGCTTCATGGGAATGCATAATAAATTAACTCATCATAATGAGCATACTGGATCCTATCTAGACATCCATCATTTTCCTAAATGAAATTTAGCAACCCAATGTTTCAGGTTGTGTAGCGCTTGCTAAACAAGCTTAACCATCACATCAAAGCATACTAAATTATCAAATCGAAAATGATAATATCATCAAGTCAAAGGGACCATGTAACAATTTGAACTCTCTATCTCTTAGGTGACTCATCCTAGAGAATTCAAATACGGTCTAGTGCTACACACATCATAATGCGTGCTTATGACATACACCCGGAGAATCTCCATTCTCGATGGTTGAGACCCACCACCATATCTCATATATCGGTGTCATGCATAATAACCTGTTATAACAAAGTTATCCTTTACTAGTTATAGGTTAAGCACAAATTTAAGAAATTTCTAAGTTAGATCATATCTCCAAGCAAGTGACCATCACAATGCATGATCTAACAAAATAACTTCTAAGGATATATATAACAATTATATAAATAATAACCAAATTATGTGCAACAACTAAATTTATTAACATTACAATATTATTACATAATTTGTATTGGATGTTCAAGGGCAAATTATTATTACTATTCCAGCACAAACAACATAAATGAATTCAAGGGATTACCATGATGCACCTAAAAATTTTAACATTTCAAACTTAGAACAGCAAACATAAAATTAAGAAATTAATAGCAACATCTGGAAAATTTAAAGTTTCCAATTAACACCCTGAATGTCTCAAAAATTATAGAAACACCCTCAAAAATTATAGAAACACCCTCAAAAGGTCAAATTATTAAATAACATCATAAAATTCTAAAATTTTAAAATTTACAAACAACAAAAGATAAATTCAAGAAATTACCTTCATGCACCTAAAAAATTAAAATTTACCATAATTAACCTTAAAATTATAAAAATTGCAACAAAAAACTTGTTTAAAATTTAAAAATTGCAAAAAAAAACTAAAATTTTATAATTTATAAAAAGTACATATTAAATATAGAAATTATTGGCAGACTGCTGATATTTGAGTTTTTTTTAATTAATCTACTATTACAATAATTATGAAAAGAACCCTTAACTTTTCGGAGTTGTAAGAAATATTCTGACATTTAAAAATTATCACTGACACATAAAACATAGAAGTTATAACTGCCAAAATTAAAAGTAAAATCTTTTAAAAACACTCCTAAAGTTTTAAAAATTACAAAACACACCCTTAAAGTTTAAAACCACAAAAAGGCTTAAATTTTAAAACTTGGCAAATAAATATGTAATTATTTGGTATTATTTCATTAAGACACACAAACACACACACATAGATGTATGTATGTATGTATAATTTTCAATTTAGGGTTTATTATCCCTTTTTAGCATATAAAAGTAGTCTAAGTTGATGTTGGTAAATAAAAACAAGAAGTGATTAAAAATATTCGGTTAAGGAATAAAAATTAAAAAAAAATATATCATAGCTTTAAAATTATTTTTACTGTATAAATCAAAGTAACTGTACGTAATTTTACTAATAAGTTAGAGCAACAAAAATACATTAGTAACATTAATTGATAGATATTTAAATCTATAAAAATGATAAAAGACTATAATATAATAGCTTAGCATCGATTGATTATAATTTAAAATATTAATCTCTGATGTTAATAATATTTATAGGGTAATGCAAGGAATTACATATGGAGAAACTATCAGAATGTTGAGAGATATCATTCAGAAGAATCAAGCTATTTCCATTTCCAGATGAGAAAGTGATAGAAATTAATCAAAAAACACCGATTGAGTTCCATTGAAGAACAATTTAACAACTTTATCTCAATCAAAGAAGAATTCTTCATGAAAGATATAAGAAAAATTAATAAGTATTCATAAATTTCATACTTTGTTCTTCGAATACTAAAGAAATTAAATATTAATACTATAATCTAAGGCAATTTTGGTAATGAAAATTTCATGTATTTAGTTTAGATTTTTGTGGAAAATAACAGAGATAGAGCAAAGGTAACACTATCGATATAACAGAAACTCGTATTGGATGCACATCAGAAGAATTCATTGTAGAGGAAAAAGAGGTAGTTCCTAATATTATTTAAGTAATAAATTAGGAACACAAATAATTTTATATATTTGAAATTAAAATTTATTCTCATTGAATTAGGGAAAAAAATCAAAGTCTGTATTTCAATAAGTTTGGGTTGAACATTAGAAATATATTTGACTTCTTTATGAAGTTAAACGAGAATATAAAAGAATAACGAGCCTAGGAAAAACAACAGTACAAAAATACAACTTCAGACTGATGTCACAATCAATGTAGATGATGAAGATGTTGGCCTTCTTGTTTTGATGATGTTTAACAAACAATTTATTACTAATGTTGTTTGTCTAGTGTTTGTGCATTCCTATGTTTTGTAGACAAACAACGTTGTTGGAGGATGGATGGAATAGAGCTTCAACGATGATATCCAATGGAGGTTGGCGGAATGTCGGTGAAGCCTTGCAAATTCAAAGTTAAAGATCAAGTTCAAGCTTCATCCGCATGTGTACCAAGTTGAGCTACAATGAAGATCAAGATCAAGCTTGGGTATATTTAGTATAGGTTTATATTATGTGTGTTATATACTCTAAGCTCAATATTATATTCACACACACATTTATTAGTTTCTTAGTATATATATATATAGTTATATACATATACATCTTGGCTTTTAGTTTTATCCACAAACAAAGTTTTTACAAATAAATTCCAAAAATTATGTATACATGCTTGTTTTCTATGTGGATAAGTTGTTTTGGTTTAATTTCATAGATACGAAACAAATATATTCTCATATACATACTCATACGTTTTACTTTCTATTGTATTTGTGAAAATATTGTTTTCTTGGTTTATAGACTTAACAATAATCATATACATCTTTTATTAAGTCTACAAAATCATTTTGTAATGTTTCAAAACATGGTTAAGCTAAAATGTCAAGATTCATATGTTTACATTTTCATGTTTTGGACTATTTTGCAAAATGATGGTATTTCTCATTTGGGAAGTCTTTTTAGAAAACCAGTTTTTGTAGCATGTGTATTATCATGTCTACAATCATTCCCCAAAGTTTTACATTTTTCTGAATTTATTTGATATTTTTAAACAGGGTTTTAAAATCAGCAAAACAGTTTTTGAATATGTCAGATTTCGGTCGACCGTACCGGTCGACCGAACCTGAGGTCAAAAGTTCACTGGGCGACAGAAAGCTGTCATTAACTAAGAGAGTTTTTAATCAAGTTTAATAAAGTTTTTAACAAGGGTTTTAGTTTGGTTTAAGTGTGTTTAAAAAGCTTTTAAGCAAATTGAGAGTTTGTTTTTGTGATTCAATTCTACAAGAGCTTGAGGAGATCATCCTTTGGTGTTTGGGCATTCAACTCATCTCTCTCTCACTCTTGATCTATAGAGAAGTTTTCCTTAAACTCAATTCTAGCTATTTATTGTTATGATCTTAATTTCCATAAGCTAGATATTTATATTGAGTTTAATTGTTTTATTGATACTCTTTGCTTACACACACAACCATTGAGCTTATTGTATTTTCATACATTGTATAATTTGGGTTGTGGGGTTTGTCATTGAGTTGAGCCTAATTGAGTTCTCACCTTGTTAGAGAGAACAATCATTTGCTATATTGTGCTTAATTGTTAAATCACTTTGTAATACTCTTGTACACCGAGTGAGGAGTGTGTGGTGAGAGTCGGGGATCGTCCCAAGAGGAGTGACGTCGGTTGACGTGCCTAGAGAGAGGTTGTAACCGAGCACTTGAGGGAGACACGGCTAGGTCCAACACTTAGTGGGTGTAGAGTGTGATTGCAAGAGTGTGAGTTGTAGAGTTTTCGGTTAGCTAGAAAACCGAGTGTGTAGAAGAAGTTCCGGCTTTCAAACCGGGTGTGTCGTGATAGTGGAGATCTCCTCGAGGTGAGGAGCGGAGACGTAGGTCAAGTGGTTAGACCGAACTCCGTAATCATATCGTTTTGTTTGTGATTGCATTGGCGTTCTTATTCTTGTTTTTCACATCTTATATCGCCTTTGTGCATTGCACATCATATTGTCCTATCACTTGTGTAGATTGTTTATTTTACCCTTGTGTTAGTTTATATATCCTTGCATACATATTTTATCATATAGGATATATCTTATTGTTTACATTGCTTATCCTAGCTTACAAACATTGTTGTATTTCATACTTGCTAGGATAACTTATTAATTAGTTTTAATTGGCATTTAATCGGATTAGATTAGCATAAGACCCTAATCACCCCCTCTCTAGAGTCTAACAGAAGACACTATTCTAAAATTTTCTAGGAAAATGATAAAGATAAATAAGGATTGATCTTAGCTCAAAAAAAGAAGGAATAAAAGATAATATTTTCTGAATGTTTTATAGAATAATTTTATTGTTTTGATTGAAATTAGGAATCTTTAGAAGGGAGTTTGATGAACCTTTGTTAATACTTTTATATGCTTATGTGGATGTTTTTATCATATAAAAGTATACTAGAGTTAGCATTAATATTTAATTTATAATTTTTATGAAGTCTATTAATGATTAAGAACAAATTTTATATTCTTTTTTGTATTGTTTTAGCATACTTTTAATCAATCATCTTGCCTTATTGATTTTAAATATTCACCTTTCTTATATAACATTGTTCCAATATTTTTTTCTTTTGCAACGCTGTACTTTCTCAAGTAAAGCATGGTTTTATGACAGTCCAAATAATATGAAAATTCAAATTAGCTTCAGATTATATCTATTTCTATCAATTCAAATATCAATATGAAAAATTAAATTAGCTATAACCCATTTAAACAAACATCAAAGAAAATAAATAATCGCAATGTTAAAGTTTAGAGATAAAAGTAAACATAAACTATTAAAGTGGAACCAAGGAACAAATTTTATTTAAGAAATAAGCCAAAAATAATTAATCATTGTATCTAACCATGTGCATTGCACGTGTATAAAACCTAGTTGACATAAATACGCGAGATGCGTTCTGTGACTAGGAGATAAATCTAACAACTCACTTCCTCTTTCAGCCCTCAACCCTCTTCATTTTCGCCCTCAATCATAAATTACCAATTTGAAAGTCTCATTGCATAATAATGTTTAGATGATAAATCATACAAACAAATATGGTATTGTGTTTAAAAATTTTTGGACCCATTTGTCGAAATTTCTAGCTCCGTAAATGCTAACATGTCACTAGTAAGCATAAGATAAAAAAAAGATGAAAGATTCCTTCTTAGCCCCAAAAAATATTTTATTAAAAAAAGGAAAATAGATACATTTTTGGGACAGAGGAAATATTTTTATCATTTATTTTGGTATATGTTTGTCGTATGAGATGTTAGAATCGATGGAGCTAATTTGATGACTAAATAAGAAATTTTTATATAAATTTTAGCGAAATAAAACAGTTTATTGGGGTTATGTGAAGAAACTCCCAAAGTTCAAGGGGGGTGGATGTAATTAAAAAAGCTAAAGGAAGTTTATTACAACGCCTCAAAAATTCATGGGGGTTTTCTACAATTAACCCATCTTTGAAATTTGGGACCTTCCATTGTGTCAGACCACACTGCTAGAGTAGTGTTATATGCCCTTAAACATCCAATACATTTTATTGAATATTAATTAAGTTTTATTGTTACACATGTTGTTTGGATATCTTTTATATAATTGTTATATCATCTTTAGAAATTATTTTGTTAGATCATGCACTATGATGGTCCCTTGCTTGGAGATATGATCTAATTCAGAGGTTTCTTAAATTTGTGCTTAACCTATAACTAGTAAAGGATAGCTTTATTATAACAGGTTATTATGTGTAACAACGATATATGAGATGTGATGGTTGATCTCAGCTGTCGGGAATGAAGATTCTCCGGGTGTATGTCATAAGCGTATATTTGATACGTGTAGCACAAGGTCTTATTTGGATTCACCAGGACGAGTCACCTAAGAGATAGAGAATTTGAATTGTTACATGGTCCCTTATACTTGATGATATTATCATTTTCGATTTAGTAATTTAGTATACTTTGATATGATTGCTAAAGTTGTTTTACAAGTGCTATACAATCTGAAATGTTGGGTTACTAGATTTTATTTAGAAAAATGTTGGATATCTAGATAGAATCCAATATACTCATTTTTTATGAGTTAATTTATAATGCATATCCCATGAAGTTATTAAATTCTCGTCGACATGTAGTTTTAAAAATTATTTTTATAAATCTATTTTCTTATAAATAAAATATTTCGATGTTTCAAAATGATTTTTATTTATGTTCATGGGATTGTAATTTTAGGAATGAGCAAATATGTGATTTGTCCTGCTCAATAAAGTTACCTAAAATAAATTGATACTAGAAGGGACTGAATGTAAGATAATATTATTTACGAATATTTAATCCTATATTATGGAAGGGCTTTTATGAACAATTGGTCGGATAGGAATTTGATTGTTAAATTAAAATTATTAATTTGATTAATAATTAGTTCTCGATATGGGGCCCAATTGGTCTCACTAATGTTATTAGAAGAGATTTACATGCAATACAATTCTATTTATATCCTAATTGTTATGGAAACAATATTTTATCTTTAATGTTTTGGATAGAGTTTTAAATAATTAATGATTTTTTTGAAATTAAAATCTATAAGGCAGGTTCAATTCTATATATAGGACTCATATGTAGCCTTATGTAGATAAGAAAAGGAGAGGAAAAAAGTGGAAATAGATTTTGAGAACTTATCTCTAAGTATTGCTCATCTTCGGTGATTGGTGGATTTTAGTTGGAGACTTTTTCTCTTGAAGAAACTATTTCGTATTGATCTTGGGACAGATTATCAAAAAAATTCGGAAAGCGTTTCAGGTATTCTTCTAGATTTTAATTAATTTTTATTAATCTACATGATGTGTAATTTTCGCTGCGTTGTATGTTATGTTTTCAATACACATAGCTGGTGAGCTAGAGAAGAAATTCTACTACCTTTGTTTGCATGTTTTCTGTTTTTTCCATTTTCATTTAAAAATTTAACCTCTCTTTTAATTTTCTATAGAAAAATAATAATAAATGTAGATAATATTATTGTTGACCGGTACTTTTGTCCATAATGTACAGCATATTGTATCTTGGATGCATATAATTGGGTCTTACCAAAAGAAGAAATTAGATCAAATTGAATGGAGTTAGATATTTAAACTTAGAGATCCAGTATTTTTTTAATATGAGAAAAGCTATATTTGCCTTTTTTCTCTCTCTCTCAGCTTTATGAAAAAGATATTGTTACGTTATTAGTCAATATTTATTCTCTATTTCTCTTATCCTCTTATCGGGAGATACTTTCAAAGATCGATTTCTCGTGGAGAAGAAATTAAAGGTGCGTGCAGGGAGTTATCTAATAACTTTTACTAGACTGGACTTTATCTATTACTGCATACTGAAGCAAGTGCCTATATGTATATACTTATACTACATATAAAAGAGGAATGTGGTGCTGAAACTTTTGATTGTACTTTTTATCTCTTTCAAATTTAATAATTCTAATTGTAATTATTTTATTTAATTAATTTATCTCAAAGTCTCATTCAATGAATCTTAAATTAAATTAAATTAAATTAATTATACAACATCACAATAATAAGATTTAGTTAGTTTCTTAGGCTCTTAAAAATTCCATAAACTTATATTGTTATAAAAGTTTGTTGGATGTTACATTACTTTTTTCTGAAAATATCACGCACCATATATATACATACATACATGAATACACATAAATGCTCGGTATAAATGTGATAATTACCTCTCCAAGAATTCCACATCCATATATGAGTACATGACCATATATGTTAAATCTTTTAAAAAATGCATGTCAATTGCATGAGTATTCATCGAAGTCCTTTTATTCAAATTCTCATTCAAATAATTTATAAAAATTCAATGGTGTAGTACTAATTAAGAGAAACAATTGGGACAGACAAATTACCCTTTGTGTACTCTTGTTGGGTCCAATTAAGTGGGAGGTGAACCATTGCCACTTTATCATCTAGAGCAACCACTAATTAATAATTACTTCAATGGCCATTTATTTTTTACTTTAGGATTATTAATTGCTAAACAATAAATACTCTTTTTCAACCTCCCACCTCAAATGAATCTTTTTCCTTATTGTTTACCTCTACCTACTCTGCTTCCCATGTGATTAATTATTGATTCCTTATTTAAACTTCCTTTTTTCCTTAATCGTTAGACAAAGGGTTAGACAAAGGGATGAAGATGGTTAGTGCCTGTGATGTACAGTACTGGGTGATGTTATAACTGTAAATACAAAACTATAAGTAATATCTGCTTTAGCAGCTGATGTGTTATAATTCACCGTGTACATTTTGTTTCAACAAAATATTAAACTTTCTTCTCTTAAGGCTATAGCAGATCAGAGAAAAAACAACACTTACAACCAATAAAAACAAAGCCAACAGTGGCGCCACAACCAGCAGAAACAAAGCCAACATAGGCCCCGTCACTGCTACCATAATGTTCATTCATGCTCATGAGATAACTAGATTCTAATATTCGAGACTTGCATAAAGACCTCATGTCTGCCTCAGCACCTTCGAGTCTATTGAGGTTGATGTGCACGCTTATGACGAGGCTGCCCTCCGCTTCTGGGGAAACTGAGCTAGGCTCAACTTTCCTAAAAACAGCCACTTTTGACCGCCCATGCCACCATAACTTCTCCAGCAAAGGCGTTTGAAAAAGAAGGAGAGAGCTTAATTTAAGATTTATGATAAAGGTAAATGTATATCATCGATCAGCAAGAGGGAAGGCTGTAAGTAGTGATGATATGAGTTTCTCACCTGATTGAAGCTTTCATTAGGAACTTGGCTTTTTTTAGGTGGACAACATTGAACTTGCTGGGCTACTTGATAATGCAATGAGTGTTGGTTGTTAGCATTTTTGTTATGATGAATGTTTTAAATTTGAGGGGTTAAGGTTAAGATAACTTAAGGATTGAGTGACCTAATAGCAATTTTAATCATTGGAGGGATTAAGTTTAAAATAACTAAAGGAATAGTAG